TGTTTATTATGGAAGCATCGAGACATCATCGTTTTCCGGTATTCTAATACTTCCTGTTTTGCGGAACCGATGATGATAGCTGCAGTGGTGTTAATCGTAGCGCTGCGGAGTGCTGTATATGCGGATTTATTTACATCGATCGCCGATATGGAGCTGCTTCTGGAAGCTGAAAAAGGAATTCCTGATTTGTTGGATCTGTATGTCGAGAGATTTCAACAACGTTTGAATGAAATCAAACAGTTTGTTTTGTTCATTTATATTTGTATGTTAAAATTAAAGATATTGCACAAATTGAATTATGAAAATCAAATGTTTGTCCGATGCTAAAATATGTTTCTTCCCTATCTTAACATTTTTTCCAAGCGTACTCTAAAGCATTCGACACTAGCTATTTCAAATATAAATTTAATGGTGAAGAGACTAATCGATTACTTAAAGAACATAAGTTCAACTTCATTTTCTGACTCAATCGTGAATTTCTTAAATTTGTCAAATTTTATATTTGTTTTCCAGGCTTTCAATGGGAAAAAAGCAGCAGAACAATCGTACTATAGAAAATGATATACGATTGATAAGCAATCCAGTGAGTGCCTATTTGCTTATCAAAAGATTGATTGAGGAATGGAATAATATAAAACGATTAGCAGGAAGTGATATAGGTGAAGAATTGCTGAAGGAAATTTCACAATTGCGAGCAATGAATTATGTAAAAAATCCTACTACGGTATTCTTTCTGCATAAATTAAGCCCTTAACTTGTTCTATTTCGTGATTATTTCTCAATTCGATAATTTTTTACGAAAAGAAAAGTTCAGTTTTATTACAATTATGATTTTTGTAATATTTACAAAAATTTATGAAATGAAATTTCAGTAGTTTTTTAATAGAAAAATTGAACAAATGACTTCCTGATGCATTTTTGAGGAAGATTTAAATGGAGCTGCGATAGCCTTACTTCGACTGCAAGACACCTATCGATTGAATGTTAAAGAAGTAGCCGACGGGAAAATTTTGAATTCCTCTGTTGTTCAACCATTTACAGGTTTAAAAACAAATACATTTTAAAATGAAACCAGCAGTTCTTATACATCGACCATTATTGCTCATTATCTCCAATAAATATTTTGCAATATTAAAGAGGTTTTTAGTTTCTGTTAAAATTTGATTCAGGAGGAGAATTGGCCAAATGTTCGAATTCCATTTTTAAGTTTCAAAACGAATAAGTGAAATGCGAGTTTTTAATTGTTTGAAAATATATTTGTTGCTATTTTTTTTCTCTTTTGATTGTCGAAAAGATTTCAAATTCAGAAATATATGAAAAAGACGGATAGGTAAAATAATAAATTTTTGACTATTTCTTGTTTTAATTAATATTTTTCTTCAGAATATTTTAAAAATTATAATTTATATGAGAGAATATTTTATAAACTTTCAGCCAAAGATTGTTTTGATATTGGTCGAGCAGCGTATAATGCGAATGATTACTATCATACCATAATATGGATGGAGGAAGCGCAGGAGAGGTTACGAGATGAAATGCCACATGTTACTGTACAATTAAAGGAAATTTTGGAATATTTAGCTTTTGCACTATTCAAACAAGGTAATCTGAAACGTGCCTTATTACTCACTGAACAGCTCTATAAAATTGGTAATTTTTTTCTTTTTGACTATTTCTTCTTCTGATGTTAACTGTTTGAAAATTTTTAATTTTAAAACTTGAAATTGGATTAATTTGCTCCAAAGTATTATTAGTTCTTATTTAAAATTTTTGTTGCTTTTATGATTATTGAAGATTTATTATGGTATATTATATAGAAATATATGCAAGAATAAGGTCATTGTTCTCAATCGATGCTTCATAATTAAAATAATATTTCTTTTCAATACAGATCCAAATCATCCACGAGCAAAAAACAACATCAAATGGTATGAAGATCTGTTAGCGGAGGAGGGTGTGAAACCGATTGATTATCGACGAAATATTCCACCAATAAGTAATCCTCGCCCAACGAATGGCTTCGAAACAACGGAGCATGACATCTATGAAGCATTATGTAGGAACGAAGTCCCTGTGGTAACGTCTTATATTTTGATAACATTTAAACAAAATTGTTTTGTTAAATATTCTATGCAATATAAACTGTATTGAAAAGTAGAAATTATATGCTATCAGTTAGTCATTCCATTTCCAAACAGCTTAATAAAAAGTTGAATTCAAGAAGATAGTTAAATTAGTTTTATTCAGAAAATTGATATCAACCGTTTTATGTGATTTTTGCCTTAATTTCATTAAAAAACAAAAAAAAAATTGTCCAGAGGATAAAAATTTATAAAACGAGTAGATAATTTTGTTTAAGACATTTTTCTATAGTTTAAAAGTTTCAACAAATAATCATAAGCTTTTTAATCGTGATTCATTGCCAATTCTAGATAAAAAAGCCATGGATTCCTGTTGAATTTTGAGTTTTTCAACTTTATTTAAATTTTTTGAATTCATTTGCACTCCTTTGTTCACTTCTACTTTTTGAACTTTTATTTTTTCAATTGAAACATGAAAATTTTCAGAGCGTTAAAGCAACGTCAAAACTATACTGCTATTACAAGATGGATCGTCCATTCTTGCGTTTAGCTCCTTTTAAAGTTGAAATCATGAGATTTAATCCGCTTGTCGTATTATTTCGTGATGTTATGTCGGACGAAGAAGTAACAATGATCCAAATGTTGGCGACACCGCGAGTATTCATTACTTTAATAAGCCTTTCTCTCCATCATTTATTCTTATTCCCTCATAAATTAATTGTGGAAATTTTCAGAATCAAAATTCACCATTAATTTTATATTCTCAATCTTATCTTTTTTTAAAAATTATTTTTGTAATTTTTTGCAGTTGCGAAGAGCGACTGTGCAAAATTCGGTAACTGGTGAACTTGAAACAGCATCATACCGAACAAGTAAAAGGTTATTTGTATATTTATGATTTGTGAAAATATTTGGAAAGATAGGATGGTAGTCAGTTTGCAGGGAAACAAAGGGCATCTTTTATTATTAACCGTTTTTCGAACCTTTAAAAAAATATGACTATGTCTCAAATGATATAATATGATATCATTTTAAATATTAGAAAGAAATTATAAGACTGTTTATTGTTTTATGAAATTTCATGAAATTATTTGAATTTCATTTTTCACCTTAGTTTCATTGGTTAGGAAATATGAAGAGAAAAGCAAATAATTTGTTTATTTGTTTTTAGTGCATGGTTGAAAGATGAGGAACACGAAATTGTTCACCGAATCAATAGACGAATTGATTTGATGACTAATTTGGAGCAAGAAACTTCAGAGGAATTACAGGTTTGTTATTTTATTTAAAATGTGAATTGTGAAATTAAATTATTAATTGTTTTAATTATGCATTATCTAAATTCATATATAAAATTTGTATGTTTACTGCTGCAAAATCACATTGTTTAATTTTGTGATTATCATAATGATAGTGCCTTTCATTACAATTACTTTTACTGTTTTGTATTTTTCTTAATAAAGTAAACATTAGGTTGGAAATTACGGCATTGGTGGTCATTACGATCCGCATTTTGACTTTGCAAGGGTAAGTTTTGTTATTTTTAATTAATTGAAAAATTATATATTTTTTTCAACACTAATTTATTTTTTTAAATTATCAAGCTGAAATAAACAATTATGACAATTATTTAGAGAGAGGAGGTGAATGCTTTTGAATCACTGAATACAGGAAATCGTTTGGCAACATTGTTATTTTATGTGAGTATTCAATTCATGTTGCATAAGGAAATGTTTAATTTCTTCTTGTTACTTTTGTGAAATTTAAATCTTTCAAGATTTTTCAATTTAACTTTATTATTTTAAAAATTTTTCAAACATTAAGTCTTTTAAACATCATTTCTTTCCAAATTTTCAATTTATTTCTCGCTTAATTCTCTTAGATCCTTGAGCTTATTCAGCTATTGCAAGAAAATTTTAGTTCTTAAATGGAAGTTTTTAAAAAGAGAAGAAAATTTATAGATGACACAGCCTGAATCAGGAGGTGCTACTGTATTTACAGACGTCAAGACAACAGTTATGCCTTCCAAAGTCAGTTATTTCTGCGTGATTTGATCAATATTGCAATTTAAATTTTTTCTATTTCGGTTGAAAATGGTGATCAGAACAGGAAAATTGAAGATTAATTCCTTAGAAAAGTTTTTCAAATATCGACTCTTAAATTTAAAGTTTTTTTAACTTTTAGATCATTTAAGGCAAATTTCAAATCAAATTTAGAATCAAATTTTTGAATTAATGAACAAAATTTTTTTTAGAACGATGCGCTATTTTGGTATAATTTATTGCGAAGTGGTGCGGGTGATTTGAGAACACGTCATGCTGCGTGTCCTGTATTAACTGGTACTAAATGGGTGTCGAATAAATGGATACATGAACGTGGTCAAGAATTTCGTAGGCCCTGTGGTTTAGAACGATCAGTGGAGGAACAGTTTGTAGGCGATCTAAGTGCCTAAATACTACTAGGAAGCTTGAAATTACATTTAAAAAGTACTCCTGTTCTATCTGCTTAATGAAGAGTCTAATTTTTGATACATCACATTTTCAAAATTATAATATAAAACTACTGAAATTGATTCACGTACATATAGTGCCTTAAAATATAAATTATATGCTTTAAAGTCTTCTCATTCATTCGACATTATGTCAGTGTAATAATTTAATCCAGTTTATTATTTACACATTTTGTTCAAAAAATAAAAATAAAAATATTTTTCTCGAATAAGGAATATAATCATCCGTTGTTCGTTTTTCTCTTGTCCTTTCTCTTCCTCTCTTTCTCTTTCTTTCTTTCTTTCTTTCAATTGTGATATTTCTATTCGTTTTTCTTATCATAAAAATGAGTTATAAATCATACAGTTGAAGCATAAAATGAGTTGTGATATTATTTTGTAATTATTTAACATTTTTTTTGTGTTACGATTTAGCAGCATATTTACTTAAATATCTCAATTCCAAATGATTTACTCAATATGCAAGATTGATAATACATCAAATTTATTTTCAATGAATTTTTAGAAGAGAGAAAAAAAAGCGAAGCAATCGACATATCTATCCTTCTTGTTATTTCCTTACAATTCACTCTCTTAACACACAGGTTCACAGTATTAATTCATCATTTTACAGAATATGACGATTTGCTACAAATTTTTTTTCCACAACTTTCCAGCCACTCACATTTCTCATTGAATACTTCGTCCCGTCAAGTGTTACATGTCAAGTAAATTCATCATATTAAAAAAAAAGGAAAATTTTGATTTCCTTTTGCTCATATGAAAATGTAATTTTTCTTTTTCTATACAAGAAGTCCATGAATTATAAATTTATTTTTCGTTCTTTTATGAACGTCAAAGATTTATCATTTCTACATTTGCTTCAATAAATGACTTTTTTTTTCTTTCATTTCACAATTAACATTTGATATATTTTCAGATTTCCTTTTCATTTAAAATTCTACTTTTATTAGAGATTTTTCATGAGGCAGTTTTAGAAGTTTGAAAAAATTTAACTTTTAAATGTGTTCAAAAAAAGAGAAGAAAATTTATGCCTTAAATCCTCTAATTTATGATGAATTTCACGTCAAACAACGAATGAATCTTTCAACGTCGATAGTTTCCTTGTTTTAGAAATATGCTTTAATAAGGATGCATATTTTACACTGACATACTTTTTTTTTAAAACTAAGCATTTGGTCACTTTTACATTCTCATACCTTATATTCCTCTTTTAATCCTACTCAACAATATTTTACATTCAATGAGACGATAAAAAAAACTTGAAGAACAATAAAAAATTAAAAAAATAGGAAGATTTGATGGAGATAAGCGTTACGTAATACTGATTTCAATCGATTTTAAAGAAGTTAACAAGAGATTCCCGGGAATGCAGTTCATTTTTTTAGGTTTAAAAAAGAAAAAAGGTCTTTTTTAAGATAATGCTTTGAAGTTTGCTGTGATATATGCATGAAAGAAAGTAATTTATTTTTTGCACAATAAAGGCTGGGTTTTCTTTTTTGCTTTCAGCTTTTATCAGCTAAAAGAACGAAATAAGAGAAAAGATTGCAGAGGAAAAAGAAAAAGAAATAAAGAAAGATAAAATTGAATTGGAATTGGAAATTCGTTATCAACAAGTTTAATTTTGCGACGGCATGTACAGAAATGACTGAATTGTTTAATCTTTTATGGATCATTTGTATTTTTGACAAGCACATGACATGATTAGAATAAGCTTAGTAAAAAATCCGATAGAATCGATTGTACCAATAACAAAAATGTACCAGTTGTACCATTGGTACAAAATTGTACCATCTTCATTTGTGCTTATTGCATGTATGTTTTGACCGTAATTGTACATGAAGTGAACCTTGACCCAACCGCAAGCTTTTTTTTTCTCTCATATAAAAAGAAAATTTGCATAGTTAAGAACAGAATTAGAACTTCTAGTAAAGATATTTTAAAAACGACAAAAATTTAATGAAAAAAAAAAAGAATTCGATGTGTGGAAGTCGTAGAGTAATAAATGTTCCAGGAAGTCATATTATTTCAACAATTAAGCATTTGAATGTTCCTACTCCAAGAAATTACAGGAAAATAGCTGCTATCGAAGTGCTGACAAAGTTACCAAAGTTAAGCAGTAAAAGTTCAGTTAAGACAGAAAGAGGGAATGAAACCGCGTAGAGAATCTAACAGAAATTTTTCGATTTCTGTTGATTAGCTTGCTGAGAAAAGTCAGAAAAGAAAGAATTGTTTGAAATTGATTAATCAGTTTCCGTTAGATTTTAGATTAGCTTAGTAATATTAAAAATTTTTGTGGCGAAGATTTCTAGCCAAATCATAATTTAGCATTAATAATAATCTAAATGATTTCTAATTCTAATTCAAATTTTTACTCTCTTTATTAGCAGGCCATATTTCTTTCCCTTTCATTTTAAAAGTCGATGATGCAAAAAAAGAAGAAATCATTTCTGAAATTCACAAGGGAGGGAAAACGGAGTGCGCACAAGAAGTTTTTATTAAACTCCTTGAAAATGTAACTCGTATAAATGAAAAATAATTTATGATTCAAGCACACAAAATCCAAAATATTGGTGATAAATTCAAAGATGATTTTCTTTTTCATCAATAATTCATCAATTTTAAAACCATAGATTAATGAAATTATTAAATAAATTTTTAAAAAAAAATGAAATTATTAAAAAAATAACAATTATAACCGTTAACTTTTTAGTTCTTATTACAATTCCTATTCATCTAATTCAGTCATTCGCATATTTTTTTCGGGTTTCTTCAAATTTCAAATTTCAGTATGATTGAAACTAACAAAGTTGCTTATTTGCAAAAAAAAAGAAAAAAATACTGTTAACTAAGTGAAAGAGAAATTTTATTATATTAATAAGATAGGATGAGAAATGGAACTGAATCGGCAATCTTTCTAACAACAACGAGGAAAAAAAACTATTCTCTCCAATCGTCTATGCGTTTGTCCGATGAAATTTCGCATACATGTAAAATTCCATACAAGAAATGCATAGACATCTTTTCCTTCGCTTCCTTCCTTTCTTTTTTTTCAAATGTTTAATTTGAAAGAGATTTTACATAATTTTTGAGGACCAAGAAAGACTAGGCTCTCATTTTGCTTAGCCAATCATAACATTTGATATAATTCTTCGTATCTTTTTCATGCTAAAAGATCATAAATCGAAAAATTAAAATAAAATAAAGTACAGGGGAGATTAGATGATGAAAGATGTTGTGATAAAGCTATAGCTCGATGATTTATTCATCATTGGCTTATTGATTCTTTTGATGAATTGGAAATTCTCTTTGCACTCTTTTCATCCCTTAAATCTCTGTGTTTTTGTTTTTAAAAGTGAAATATGATGAATGACAGTTTATTATATACCAAAGTAAGTGTAAACTTTTAATTTTTCCGCTAAATATTAATTTGAAACATAAATTGTGTAATTATCATTTTGAAGGGATTTTAATTTGCTTTCTTTCTCTTCTTCACTATTCTCATATGCAATTTTAAATTTGTCAAGAAAATGATTTGTTTTGGATATAGTTTTAATTCAAATCTATTTTTCGAACCTTTTGTTCATTACAAATTAAACATTAATCACGGACGGCTCTCTATCCATTCATCTTATCCAAAGAGTCATTGCCACTGTACGTTATTTTTTCACTCTTATTCGAATTTTGAAAAGTTTGAAATTCATTAAATTACGGCTCACCTTAATTTCTTTATTACCAAAAATTTTCTGCAACTTCACATTTAAAATTGAACTGATCAATGGATTTTCAAAATTTTTTTTAGATATATAGTTGTAAATACTTCCTATTTTCTTACATTCATTTCATTTCTAAAATTCTTTCTTATCACTTTGACATGATTGATTGGTTGCTACGATCTATAATTCTTAATTACGCCAAATTTTACAACTGAAATGAACCTTGTCCATTGTTATAATTTTGAATAAATCAGATTTTCAACAAAACTGATCTTAACATTTCATTCAAGCTAAATTAGATCAATAATTGATTACTTCATTGATTCAAAAAAAAATTTCATCAGTTAATATGATAAAAGAGTGAAAATATTGGAGAAAAATAATTTCTCCCAAATTATTAGTTATTCTCTTATTTATTTTTTGGAATTTTTTGGTCAAAAAGTATGGTATCTTAATAAAGGACCATAGTATATATGATTTTTTAAGGTTAAATTTAAAAAAAACTTGTGACGAATTTTTTTGTCATTGTAAGCAAAACTCATTTCGAATTATTAGACTGACGTCAAACTGCTTTTATTGCTTCTCTCGTGATGCTAACAAATCTTTCCAAATAAGTTATGGTACCCTTCTTCTACCTCAAAATTATTGTTTTGTACTTCCTATTTAAACTTTCGTTCTGTAGCATCTTTTTATTAATTCTTTAACAATGAGCTTTGTCAGACATTACATTGTTGACAAGTGCGATTTATTTTTGATAAATAATTTTTTTTCCCTATTGAATATTTTTAGCTATATACTACTCTATTAATATTTTTAGCTTTTAAGCGACTTTTCGGGGAGCAATTGCTGTGCTTTCATTAATCACAACTTCAAGGTAAGCTATAAGCTAGACATTTAAATTCTCTGACGATAAAAGATTACAAAGCACTCACTATGATGAGACTTTTTTATGAAAAGTGTTCAATAAAAAAAGATTATTATTATTTCAACTAAAGAATGCTACAAGATTGAATATTGCAAATAAATGAGAAGTAAAAAAAAAGAAGCAAAACAAACTAATCTTTCTGTCCTTTTTCTAAGGTTCATTTCAGTGCTCTTTTTAGTCACATTTAATTATGTGAAGTTTGTGATTCACTGCAAAAATTATTGAAATGAAAAATGATAAAAAGACTTGAGGAATGAAATAATGCAAATGTGCAATCAATCTAACTTTCCCTTCTTTCTTTTTTTTCCATTTGTTGAATTTTTGTCACATTTTCTTCTATTCTCTAAATTTTTTAAATTTAAAATTTGAATTACAGTTTGAAATTTCATTTATAATATTTTTTAATTAGTAAAGTAATGCTAAATGCTTAAATATTTTTGCTAAAGATATTACGATCCATTTTTGAAATTTATAGCTAATTTATTTTGCAAATAAGCAATTTTTAAACGATAATTATTCTTTCAATAGTGTAAAAAAATGCCCCTAACATTATTTATTATAAATTACTTCTCTTTTCTTTCTGTCTCCCTTTCTTTTTCTCTTTCTCTTTCCCTCTCTTTCTATTTCTTTCCCCATGTTATGAATGTTACGAATAAATATATTATGTATTTTATAATCATTGTTTAACCATTTATCATTTAGAAGTCTGTTTGGAATAAATGGACAAGACAGGTTTACAGACAGTAAAAATTTTTTGAAATCTATTAAATCTATAACGCATTATGCAATACTAAAATAATGTAGCGAGAACATATTACTATTGCATTATTTTTATTATCATAATAACGTTATACGGAATATCATTACATCACAATAATATTGTAAATTTTGAGTGATTAAAAATTCAATTTATTGGAAGGGAGCAGCAATAACAATAAAGAGAATAAAAACAATAAATGCATTTACGCAATAAAATATCATAAAAGCAACGTAAAATATAAAAATAATGAAATGATTGGTTAATGATGTTATGTTATTGTTCAACTGCTTTTGTTATCACATAATGATATATTATTCCTTACTATCATGTTGACCGCGCCATCGTTGTATAATATATTTCCAAATAATTATGATAACAAAAACTGAAGCAATAATACCAAAATAACCACTATATACAAGGAACTAAAAACAACGAATGATTCATATCATATATTATGATATAGCTTGCATGCTTATCAATGATCAAACTGGGAATGACTTGATAAGAGATTGAAGTAATTGAAGAAATAAAAGATGCAACATTAAAAGTAGAAGCATTGCTAAACAAATTATAAATAATAAGCAACAAATTCTTTAATAACTTTAACGCTTGTGTCATAATAATAAATAATCAATTCGTTAAATAAAATTCAAAAAAAGCGTAATAGTGACAAATAAATTATGAAATTTACTAGTTACTTATGAATTCTTCACTATTCATAGTGCATTATCAACTAGAGATGACAAGCTACTACTCATAGTTTAATTTTCAGGTAATATTCATTAGACGAAAAAGATTGCTATTAGATTTCCTATTCTGGTAGTAAAGTAACTTCGTTTGTTCAATGAGTTAAAATTTAACTATTGATTTTAATAAATGTTCCCTTATGCTAATTTGATGATGAAACATTCATTTTAATTATGTTAACTGCTAATAATTAACCAAACTACATAAATTAATTAAATTTGCATTAAATTGATCTGAATTTCTTGAACAATGCAAAAGTATGCTATAATTATAAAGGAAAGATAAAATCAAAAGAAAAGTGAGCTTACCTGCTCTCGAATAGATAACGCAAATCCATGCTTATCAGCAAATGCAAATGTAATTATTGTCTCCAACAAAAGTGCAACAAATGTATTCATTCCAAAAACAAAGCCATAACTTGCCGAATTAAGCTCTGATGCAATCGTTGCACTAAAAAATAAAATGTTTAAAATAATTATTGGTCCGAAATTTCATGTAATAACTGTAATTTCTATAATTGTGATAATATATTACTGACTGATTTTAAACCAATTAAATGTATCAATCAAATATGATGATTTTTGATTGATTAAACATATCAGTTAAAACTTACACTGTTCATATTTGGGACGAATAAAATTAACAATTGATGGCAATTATAAAATAATAGTTTTAGTTACTAACTAGCATTTGTCAAATTATTGCATTATTATCAATTGTTGATCGAAAATTACAATCATCAGTGATTTATTGGTTACAGATGGCATTCATCATTGAATGGCAAACATTTATCATACTGATGGCATTTTGCTACTTTTCAACCTTTAATTTGAAAAACAAGCAAACTAATTCCTAAATTTAACCGACAAATCACGTGAAATGTGAACAAACCATATCGTTCACCATAATTTTTCGAAAAAAAAAAGAAAAATAACTGATAAGATAAGTTATAACAAAATGATTGATAGTAGCCTAAGCACTGCAAAAAAAAGAAAAATGCATGCTATGAAATATTACATAATATGCATGCAGTAATCATTCTGCTAACATATATTCATTTCCTAATCAGATGATTTATTAATTTTTCGACATTTGAAATTTTCAGTGAATTAATTTGTATTCATCTCACCATGCGGCAGTCATTAGAAGAGTATAAATAGCGGTAATTGCAACATAAAAAATATATGCAATGATGACCGATTTGGTTTGTGACATAATAATTAAGAATAGAGAAATGATAGCAGATGTAATTGAAAGCATTAATTCATCGTGCACTCTCCAATCTTTCTTCATGTATTGCAATGAAAATGATATTATTGCAGCTGAAATTACTTTCATCTTCATTTCTTATTTTGACATATTTTATAATTTGCATTTAATTTAATTAATTATGCTCATAAATGGATAGTAAATAAGCTCAATCACTTCTTTCACTCCCCCGCATACTCTAATTTAACGTACCAATAAGAGTGTTAATGCATTCGGTAATTCCATTGAAATTATCTGAAATATTTTGCATTGTAGCCCATAATGATTGCACATAATTTGTAATCTAAAACTTTTAACAAAAATTAAATCAAAAATTGCGATCGTATTTCTATTTGCCTGAACGAATGATATTTCAAAGGTGCAATTTTTTAATGATTTAATGATGGATAAGTATACTGCTATTATTTTTTATTTCATCATTATAAAAAATATATACTCTAATTGTAATTCTTAAAAATGTATGCTTTATTATTTAAATAGTGCTTATTTCTAACATTTTCTCAGACATTTGTGTTTTGATTAAACTCGATTTGACTTGGTTTTAATTTAACAAAGGATACATTAAAATTTTATGCAGAAGAAAAGAAGAAAAATTAACTTTTATCAACCTGATAAAATCCGCAGGTTGTCAATGCCCACCATATGCTCCATTTCAAGACATTTTTATTCTTTGTGAATATTTTGAGTTGTTGTAAAATGAAACGACAATATGTCGCAATACTACGATCAACATTCTTTTCTTTTACGCTGAAATATTTAAGCACACATAAATGTTTATTTTCAATCTTCCTTTTTTAGCTGTTTGAAAAATTTATAGCAATGAATTCACGTGACTTACTTTTAATTATTAGCTAATTGTTTACTCATCATTCCACCATTTTATTTTCTGTTGCCTTCTAATATTGGTAGCTGATTATTTATTTGTCTTTTGGCTTCTTCATTTTTATGTTTAAATATAAAAAAATTCTTCATTCATACAGAATCTTTAAATGGCATGGCACCTGTAATCAGAAGGAAAGAAAATGATACCTCTCTCTGATATTTTCACTTCTTACACTACTAGAATCTTTAATATTTTCTGTTTTATCGGACGAAACTTCAGAAGTTTCTTTTTGTCGCATGTCATCCGTTTGCTTCCTTTGAGTTTTGCTGCTAATAATTTCCGGTGTTATGGATGGGAAAGCGACCGCGATTGGTATTATTACGCATACCGCACCAAAGGAAATCTGTATTAATTAGTCAAAGCAATTAATAATCAAATATTAAAAAGGAAATTAAAAATCAGTTTAAAAAAAGGAATGAAAATAAAATATCCAAAAGAACAGTGCTTCAACTATTTCATATATTTTTAACATTTAGTCACATAAAGACTTTACACGTTAATTTACCGAGATCAAAACAAAAATCGGTATTTTTTCTCAAAATATTGAACTACCATTAATGATAGTGCCTATTTATGGCACATATATTCCCCATTCTATTATCAAATTTTAAGTAATAAATATTTTTTGAAAATTCAAAAAATTTCAATGTTACTTGATTCAAGAGTAAGTAAGATCCATAATTAAATGAAATAAGGAATTGAGCCAAAGCATAGGCAAAGAATCGTCCAATGAGTGTAGCAGCACGTGTATAAGATGAAACCAATTTGTAGTACTTCTTATCAACGATAAGGAACAGATACGATTCATAGCCAATTTCACACGCCGATGCTATGCCTGCAACAAATTAATCCATTTTATCATAAAATTTTATCGCTTTTATTTACATCGTTTTAATTTGCCGAATTATTAAATCCCATTTCAATTTAATCAAAAACATTTAAACTTGTCAAATTTTATTCTTAATTGATTGCCATTAATCATGTTGGGCGAATAAGGTGTGATGAAATATAAATCGCTCGGATTTCATTATATTTTAAGCTTTTCTATATTTTAAGCGATTTCATTATATTTTAAATTTTTCTCTCTATTAAAACTGCCCTTATTAAAATATTATCATTAAAGCATTAAAACTGCAAGTATTAAAATCGTCTAATTTTTAATGATAATATTTTAATAAGGACAGTTTTTAATAGATGAAAAGATCTCAACCAGTTTATAAAATAATAAAGTTAACCTTCAAAAAAAGTTGTAATTTAAGAAAAACTAAGTGATCATTTTTATGCTTTATCAATTCATTAATTAAGTATGATTAAATAATAATATTTTGTGAATTACATCGGTAAAGCTAATGCTAAATGATTGCGTCACCAATGGAGGAAACATACAAAGTAGAATAATTGGACGGTTTTAATACTTCAGTAGTAATATTTTAATAAGGACAGTTTTAATAAGTAAAAAGATTAAAGTTTAAATTTAGGAAGCTATAGTTAAATCCGAAAAAAGCTCTTTTTTGCTTCAGTGATAATGCTCTTTTTACAGTGTTTCAGTAATGCCGACAATGAATGCAACAAAATGTTTATAATTCTGCTAATTTAGGAAATATTTGTGACTATTTGAATAAATTTCTCTCAGTATTGTAATTCTTATTCTATTAAAATATTTTCATTTTAAACATCTACCGAAAGAAATTTGCATAATTTGCATTTGCCATATCGTTTTGCCCCATATTAATATAATCCACGTAACACATAGTGCCACTGCTTCTAATATAACAATTGGCTTATATCGTAGTATGTCGGTTAAGAAAAATGATGGAATCTAAAAGAAAAAATATCATTCCAAATTTTTTTTGAGTAAAGAAATTATTACTTACCAAAGCAATTAAATAAGAATAGGTCCAAAATGGATAAATTTCACTGTAAAGTTGAGCATTAGTGAAATTTTTGGGTGGACTGATAAGATAAGGTGTAAGGAACGGTGTTGCCGGCCGAAATTCCTTTATCACACCGAAAGCAGAGACAATCACAACAATTAGCTTCCAATGCATAATTCTGAAAAAAATATTATTTATCGAAATTCACTAAAATTCATCCTTTTTGTAAATTTTTTCGTTTCATAGAGAAAGTACACACATCGCTTTGTATTTATTTGTCTGAAATCGATAAAAAGTCTTTTTCATATTTTATATGGTAATCCCCAATTGGATCACTAGAAGGAATACGGTTAAAATATGAAGTTTGTAAGTAGAATGAAAGTAAAAGTTATCAACTTGTCAAAGTTGGTGACTTTTTACATCAAATTAGATAAAAAGTGAATTAAATGGACAAAACGCTACCAAATAATCACTTGTGGTTCAAATAATCATTTGTGGTAGTATATGGTTAAAATAATTTTCATAATTCTCGTTTAAAATACAAAATTTGCAGTTGCAACTAATTATGTAAATTTCTAGTAGGAAGAAAAAAATTAAAAATGATTAACATGAAATTTGCTAATTTTATCACTTTTTCTTTCCTATTTTTTTGTAATATTCTGAAAATATACTGAATTAACATTATTTTTCAAATGAAATATTGCTAATTTTTCTCATACGGTTTCAATTTTTATGCTAAAAATAACATCATATTATAATTTCGGTGTTAATTTTTGATGATAAGGAATGTTTAAAAGCAAAAATACTCCCTTAATAATGATGATAATATTCAAATTTTGTTAATATTTTCAAAATTGGTTACATAATATATACGCAAATGAGATAAGTAAGCAAATAATTATGGAGAAGGCCCTTTTTTACCATATGGAAATTTTATAAGAATGAAAGGCACAGTATAAATGATGAAGTAAGTAAAGGATAGAGTGTCTTGTTCCTCATTATACTCGCTGTAACAGTACTTCTTATCTAACCTAAAAGTTAGCTGACCGCTTCAAATAAGGATGTCAAAAGTAATAGGAGTTAAAATATCTGACGGAAGTGATGTTGGCTTCAGTGATGTTAATGACGATGAAATTAAACTTTACTTACAACTTCTTTCACCGTACTACTCATTAACCGCTCAGGTATCAGTCTTTTTAGAAATAATTGTATGAAGTAGTTTTATCTAATTCGATTTACGTTTAGTCATAAAATGTAATAATTAAAAGCATTAAACAGTAAAGAATATGAGCTCATAAATATGAACTTGAGTAACTGTAATATATTTTAATTCGGAATATTTAAACAGACTCAGTACAATAACATTAATAAATATTGCATAAACACAGAAGTAGGTGGGACTCCAATTGGTTTTATTATTAAACTTCCGAAATCCAATTCGACTGATTCGTAGCGCCTAATCTTTTGTTGGGATACTAATTCTGTCCTCTCCTTCCGATTTTCTTCGTCCAATGAATCATTTTGGTCAAGGTCATTACTACGATGAACCTGACCTGATAGCTGATAGGGTCAATGTAAAGGAAAAACAAAAAGGGAATCAATGAACCCTCCACTCATCTCTGCTCCTTTTTTATACTCTTTTTCTTCTTTCCATCCATCTCTCCTTGTTTAACCTCTAATTTTCTTCTACTAGTCTTTCTAGTCCTATTTGTCCAAATTACTTTTTATTGCTTAAATAAAAATTTCACTGTTTTCACAAGCTTTAGCAATACTTGACATAGCCCATTAAAAATTTAATTACTGTCTGACAAACAAATGTCCTTTCTTCCATTGCTTTTTTTCTTACCTATTTACCAAGTAATTTAGGCATGCGCTGTTGAATATTTCCGACGTCTACTGATTCAGGATCACGTCCCACCGTTATCTATCGCAGATACACTCGTCCGTTATTTTTAATTCTAACAGATACTGTATCATTTTGTGAATTTACGAAAAAAGAACTATTAAAACCAAGATTGAAGCCAACATTTGAAAGGCTTCAAATGAATGACATCTGCGCGAGTTCCCATTCATTTATCCCTTATTTTGATCATCTTCCAGATTAAGGGCCTCATTCGATGTCTGCGAGTGAACTTTGCCAATATTCAAAGAGATGCTGCCTGGGCTCTTACTAACTGTGCCTGTTCACCGCATGAAATATGCTATAAAATAATTCAATACGTAAGTTTACATACATGTTGCCTAGTTAGACTAACATATTGTGGTTGTTGTTCAATTCAATAACAAAGTTTCTAATGATCTAAAATATTGGTTGTAGCTTATTAACTTATTAATTGATTTTGTTTGTAAGGGTGGCTTAGAAGCATTAGTTGAGTGTGCCGAAATGACAGATGGTGAAACTCGAGACCAGGTTTTCTGGACATTTGGTAACATCGCATTGGATTGTCCGATTTGTCAAGGAAAGGTAATAATTCTAGAAATTCAAAGTACCGTGCAGTAGAAATAAAAACAATAACTGTGTATGGTATCCTCAGCCTAGCAAATATTTATATGATATGATGTCTTGCGAATTCTGAATATTCATTTATTATTGCATTATTATATTGC